GTCACCTGGATAATCTAGTTAGTTGTAAACAGTCACCTGGATAATATAGTTACTTGTAAACAGTCACCTGGATAATCTAGTTAGTTGTAAACAGTCACCTGGATAATATAGTTACTTGTAAACAGTCACCTGGATAATCTAGTTACTTGTAAACAGTCACCTGAATAATCTAGTTACTTGTAAACAGTCATCTGGATAATCTAGTTACTTGTAAACAGTCAACTGGATAATCTATCTACTTATAAATAGTCACCTGGATAATCTATATACTTATAAATAGTCACCTGGATAATCTATATATTTATAAATAGTCACCTGGATAATCTATCTACTTATAAAAAGTCATCTAGAGAATGTAGTTTCTTGTAAAGAGTCAACTGGATAATCAAGTTACTTGTAAATAGTCATTTGGAGAATGTAGTTTCTTGTAAACAGTCAACTGGATAATGTAGTTACTTGTAAACAGCCACCTTAGTAATCTAGTTACTTGTAAACAGTCACCTGAATAATCTAGATACTTATAAATAGTCACCTGGAGAATGTCGTTTCTTGTAAACAGTCACCTGGAGAATGTAGTTTCTTGTAAACAGTCACCTGGATAATCTAGCTACTTGTAAACAGTCACTTGGATAATCTGTCAACTTATAAATAGTCATCTGGAGAATGTAGTTTCTTGTAAACAGTCACTGTAAACATTTGATTAACAATAAACTTCTAGAACATTTCAAGTTAAGTAATTTTTTTTTCAAATGTGTTCTCTTTGCTATGTCTTTCTTTTTGTTATTTTGTGTTACTATCCAATTTTTTAACTACATACTATATATCATTATAATGTTTATCAAACAACCTAGACTGTTTTAATTGTGTTTCTGATTTTCATATTTCAGTACCTAAATTTGAATTTTGGTATACTGCTTAGAATGTTGAAAACCTGCAATATTTACTTTGAACAGAAGTGAGTTTCTCCCTTTGAAGTCTTTCTAAATATTATAACTCTAATACCGTTTTAAAACATTTATAATACAACTCTTCTGTTCTTCTAAAAAAAATTTAAGGTCATTTTATCTCATTTGACATAACATAATGTTTAGGAACAACAAGGGATCCATTGGTCCATCAAGGCTATCCCATCCTCCAAACTAAAATAAAACTATTAAATATTAAAAAAACACCTCAAAACCAGCCTTTATCATTTATATACTTATCAAGCTTTCTTTTAAAAAATTACCTAAATTTACTGCCTTCACAATATCTGAAGACAATCCATACCAGAAGCCAATCATCCTGTTAGAAAAATAAACAGATTGATTTATGTTCGGAATTACGAACAAGGACACTCTTACTAATATACTAAATAAACAGATTGATTTATGTTCGGAACATAACAAGGACACTCTTAATTATAAACTAGACACTAAAAATGACTCAACCGTCACAATCAATAAACACTTGACATTTACTAACTACTAGTAAATCCTGTGTAAGACAATGACACCCAATCACATGAAGTTAGTTTTTCCTTACGTCCTTAATCTCTGCATAATTTATCTCCTGATTATATCTAGATTATTTTGTAACTTAAGCCAAAAACACTAGAATATTTGGTGAGTGAATCCTGATTTTGGTTATTCTGATAGCATTAATTAATGACTTAGATACTTTGGGTATCAGTGTACCGATTAGGAACGTAGATAACAACTCAGGAGACATAATCTCTCAAGGTCTATTAGGCCGTCAAGAAATTAATGTCGCTTTTTTTTTTTAGATGAAAATTCCC